AAAATTCATTTTACGACTGACGGTTGGCCAGTCACTTTCTCTTAAATTAACTAATGCAACGGGAAGAATGGGAAACCCCAATAGCTCAGTCGGTCTAGCGACGGTTACGCTGTAGTTGATCGATAGAAATTACTAGGTTACACAGAAGCCGAACCGCGAATTACCTGGAAACCTGCGAGATATGCACGAGGCGGTGAAGGCTTTGATAACAAGAACTTCGTTAGTTAAGTTAAGCTTTATTACAGTTCAGCAGACCTTGCCAACTTCTGTGCTATACTTGATGCCTCTACTTCCAGGTATTTCAAACTAAGCTGGCAACACAAAAAAAAAACATACTCGTAAAAGAGACTATATGGTGTACCTTTTAAATAACAACTACTTTTCCCGGCTCCCACCAATGCCTTTAGAATGGTTATCCCCGAAAAAAGCAAGAACATAATTATCGCTTTGTCAGAAATGATGTGCCAAATTCGTTCCGTGAATGGGGGTTATTTCAGAACAATTTGAATTTCGGGTCTTCCAAAAGACACAAATTGTAGTCTGTGACTTATCACCAGAGCCCGGATTTTGATGACCTGAAATATTTAAATATAACCTATAAAATGACAGAAAAATCCAGAAATATGGACTAAAGGAGAAAAGAAAGAACACTTCGCTTCCATGTTATTCACATTTCAGAAGACATCGCATGAAGAAAAGTTCCTTAAAATGGCCAAAAATGACAAGAAATACCTTTAAAAGTCCAAAAATTTACCAATAAGTTACCCCCAAAATGAAAAAAAAGACCTTAAACCTAATAATGTCAAAAAGTGACAAAAATTACCTATAAAATTTACATTTCTGTAACCAGCAGCTCATATCCGATATTTATATATTTAAGAGCATCGCATAGGATACAAGGAAAAAAGGATGAAATGTCATCAAATTCCGGGCCCTGCTTATCACTGTGTCTTCAGACGTCTCTTTTGAAACATTAAAGGGAGAATTAGCAGTGTGTGCTGTAACAGGTCTTGAGTAAAGTAAGCATAGGTCACTTCTTCCGTAATGCTCTCAAGAATGAGCAGAAATGCCATTGTTACTATATAACGGCCAGAATTAAAAGTCTGTTACAAATATGTTGCTTCTATTATTAGCGGGTAGCAGTAATGGCACACCACACACGGGCCATTTGATTGTGTGAGGGTGCTTCAAAATTTCCAATAACTATTGTTCTTAGCATTGACATATCAACGAAGATGGAAACATGCTTTCAATGTTAAGAATGAAAGCTTGGGACTAAGAACATCTTTTACTGTCCGTTAAGGCCAGTTTTTTCCTAAGGTAATCGCCATCTTCCGTTGCTTGAACTTGTCTACTTTTATACAGACGCAGATGCGACGTTTCAGTTACTGTCCACCATCTTGACATTGACACCTGTGCCTCTTGAGCTCATCGTGTCACATATTTGCAAGACGAATGTCTTGACCTGGCTCCAGCATTGTCAAGTTTTCCCTTGGTTAGCATAGCGTCATGTCCAGTTTATTTCTTGTATAAGAAAAACCGTCTGAACGCACTTTGCTCACCAAAGCAAGTATGGTCGACGGAGCTGGGACTCGAACATTAAGATGCCTACGGAAAAACCATCTGTTACATGATTCGTACTCTTATTTTTACAAAAGAATCCTACAGAAAACCACGCTTTTGAAGTGCATTTTTTCATCATTTGAATGCATTGAATGCTGTTAATGAAAACATGGAACACGTATGACTGTCTTACATAAACATAAACAGGACGAAAACTGATAGGTTTTACATTGAGACATGACACTATCTTACGAACTTTTTCGCACCCATGTACGGCATAATGTACGTACAGCTAGCGACATCATATTCTGCTCACAGCCGGGGTACAGCTATCAGCCTTTCAAATTCAACATCTCTCAGCCAAAAAAAAAAAAAAAGTTAAATTTTACATACATAGGCAAAAAATTGAGAAAAATCAGAAGACACGAACATTCAAATAGCTTTCTTCACACAGAATGTAATACAGAACATATTATGACCTTGCTCACAAAATAATTTGACGCTTTGCCAGGCAACGGCTCAGTAATAAATTTAACGCATGCGCGGTGACGTCACGCAACAGTGAATAACTGTGGTTTCTGTGTGGTCTGCGTCACGCAACAACAGAAGTTACGTGGTCCGTGCCGAGAGGATATGGGAGAATGCGTATGTGTAGAGGAATAAATTAATTCAAGAGGGGTTACCAACTAGAAGCATATTAGGGAAGAATGAGAATGGTGATGTGATTGCAGATTCCCACAAATTTATGAAAATATTGAATGTACATAGAATCAGTGATGTTCGGCAGATAAATTTATATACGGCTTATATGGTTACCCGACAGCAAAACAAAAGTGATATTTTAATCAATCAATATTTCTCAGATTGGGTTTATTTCTTACTACTACATGTTTCGGTCCTCATGGGACCATCATCAGGCAGATTTATATAACACAACTAAGGTTATTTGAACTCCCAATATGGATCCATATTTTGGTGCAGCGCGTCCATATTATAAAAGTTATGTCTTCAGTTACAGTAGCGTTAAAGCACAACAGACCACTGTAGGTCGCGGTGCAAGGGCCGAGGAGGCCTACCCCTCATGCATTCATACATACAGTACGGTTACACACAGCTGAGCCTCTAGTACCTAGTCCTAGTTCTTTCGTGTTTTAAATTGTTATTGCAAAATTGATGAAGTATGAATCGCCAGGTAGTGACCAAATTCCGGCAGAACTGATTCAAGCAGGAGGTGAAATATTACTGTCCGAGATCCATAAACTCTTTAATTCTATTTGCAATAAGGAATAATTACTTGATCTATAGAAGGAGTCTATTTTTGTGCCAATTTACAAGAAGGGCTGTAAACTGACGACAGTAATTATTGTTGAATATCAATGTCATTTCATACAAGATTTTATGCAATATCTTTCTCTCAATATTATATCCTTAAGTAGATGAAATTATTAGGGGTCACCAGTGTGGGTATCAACGTAGAAGGTGAACTATTTATCGGAATTTTGCATTCATCAGATACTGAAAAAAAAACAGGTGTACAATGAGACAGTACATCAGCTATTCGTAGACTTCAAGAAAGCCTATGATTCAGTTAGGAGGGAAGTATTGTACAATATTCTGATAGAGTTTGGGATACCCATGAAATTAATGACGCTAATTAAAATGTGTTTAAATGAAACGTTGGAAATTCCCTATATGTAGACATTTGTTTCATACTTTTCTTATTCAAAATGGTCTAAAAGAATGACATGCTTTGTAGCCATTTCTTTTCATCTTCTCTCTGCTTTAGAATATGCCATTAGCAAGGTCCAGAAAGTCCAGGTGGTACTGAAATTAAATGGGACCCATCAATTGCTGGTCAATGCTGTGATGTGAATCTACTAGAAGACAACATATGTACCACAAAGAAAAACACAGGAACTTCACCTGGAGCTAGTAAGGAGGTTGGACTAGAAGTAAACACAGAGAAAAGTTTCATTTGAAAATATGGCATTCAAATATTTTGGAACGATATTAACAAAACAAATTTTAATTCAGGGGGAAATTAAGAGGAGATTGAACTCGGGTAACGCTTGCTAGCATTCAGTCCAGAACCTTTTGTCTTCTCGTCTGCTGTCTAAAAATGTAAAAATCAGAATATAGAGAACTATAATTTTTCATTGGTTCTGTATGGATGTGAAATTTGGTCTCTAATAGTAAGGGTGGAACGTAGACTAAGGGTGTTTGAGAACAGAGTGTTAAGGATGATATTTTAACCAAAGAGAGCTGAAGTGGTTTGAGGTTGGAGAAAATTGCATAATGAGGAAGTTTAGTAACTTGTACTCTTTGACGAGTATGATTAGAATGATCAAGTCCTGAAGGATGAGATGGGTAGAACATATAGCACGAATGTATGCGAAGAGGAATGCATGTAGGGCATTGATGAAAAATCCAGAAGGCATGAGGCCAGTAGGAAGACTGTGATGTTGGTGTGTGGATTATATTACAGTTGATCTTAGAGGGATAGGGTGTGGTGGCATGGACTGGGTTCAACTGGCTCAGGATAGAGAGCATTTGCGGACTCTTGTGAACATGCTGGTTCCATAAAATACAGCTGCAAAATTGACAGCATCTCAAGAATGACTCATATGCATGGAGTTAGTTGGAGTTATGGAAGGCATTATGTCTCTGCAACAAATTAGACGCTTAAATTACGTAGCAATTTCTTCACGAAAGTAACAGGTTGACGAGAGAGAGAGGTCTGTTCTATAACGTCATGTAGTGTCACCCCTGACTTTATCTTGTCTGTAATAGTTGCTAGCGTTCTGCACGATCCAGTTCAGGTTTCATGTATCGCTTTCAAGCAGGCAGAACGCACTTCGAAAACAACTGACAGCTGCTGGGCGCTAGATGGCAGTTGTGTAGCCTCCCGCTTATTTCTTTTGCTGTGCGCGAAGTAAAGCGAGTGCGTCTGCAGAATACGTTGATATTAATAGTGTAATGTGTTTTTGTGCGTTTAAGTTTTATTCATTAGTGTAGTGTTAGGCTAATTTCTCTCCTACAACAGCATTAAAATTGGCAATTTCATTTGTCTATTGCGACGGATGTGGTGTGATATCAGTGGGGTTGCAGTTGCAACGATGCAGGATGCCATGTTGACTCACCAGTAATGCAGTAATGTTTGTGCGGTGTGTCTACCGTACTGTGCGTTAAGGCCAACGAGTCAAATGTGATAGTAGCATCGGGAAAGTTTGTGCCTGTGGTAAAGTAGTTAATTTTGTTCAGTGACGAACGTAATCAAGTGGACATGAGGCAATGTGTTTGTGAAACAGACAGTTCTATCGTACCTTTATTTCTCTGCATTTGATTCTTGCCCATGAAGTTGTTGAGTGATATTCACCGCATGCTGACACATGAAGATTAGTATTCTGAATGTTCCCTTGACGTTGCCCAGACAGAAGATGGGTTCATTTCACTCAGTGACAGAGGCACATCGCAAGCCTTCAAAGGTTCTGGTGGCGTCGGTGAGTAGAAATATCAATTACTAAAGTTGCAGTCAAGAATGTAACGTCAGAAGATAGCCATATAAAGAACACTACTTACATGCCTACGTAGCCGTGTAAAATATGTTACAGTATTTAAGATTTTAGGTTTACACGGCGGTGACTATGAAGAAAGCAGTTTTCTGGGATGTGGCGCCTTGTAGATATTGTGTTAACCGACGTTTCGAAGGACTGTATCGCCTCAATCTTCAGGGTAGAAGAAAAAAAGAAGAAATTCCGCGAGCGAGGAACCAGAGTGAGCAATATCTACACGGCCCCACATCCCAGAAAACTTGCTTTCTTCATGTAACAATATTATTTGTTTAGTGAATTTATCATCGGATAAAAAATGTTATATTTGTTTTTCATGTAACCAGTTTGTTATATGACTTAATTTTTATTATAATCTCTATCACTTTCTATTTATTTACAACTACTAATGTAACCAGTAGACGAAAATCGCTTCATAAAATAGATTGCCATCAGCTCAAATTAAGATATGAGTTGAGTGTTCGGATTTCAGTTTTAAGGATGCGTTACAGAGTTCGGAAAGCCTCCATCTTCGACCTATAAAACGTAGACAATTTTTGTTTAATTGGACTCATTTCTGTCTGTTGCGGCTAATATATTTCCAGAATATTGGTTGATTCAGAAGATAAAGTTACACTGGAGTGTGGAAAAATAGAGTGATAAGTTGAAGGATTTCAGTGAGCTCGGTATCGAAGTATTTAAATTCCTTAAAAACACAGTATTTCTCTTCTGCCTAAGTAACTGACACCTTATTAAGAACGAGCGTGGTGGAGTTAGATACCAGAAAATAGATTTATTATTATTATTATTATTATTATTATTATTATTATTTTAAGGCAGTTGGGTGTTCACTCGGTGGCAGTAGACCTTACGCTGACAGACAAGGAAATAGACTCTGGGAACAGTACAAAACAAAGTACACTCACTCACTCACTTACTCACTCACTCACTCACTCACTCACTCACTCACGGAACTGAGCCCTTCTTGAGAAGCTGCCAATTGTGCAGCTACTCAAGAACTTCCAAGCATTTTATGGAATCCGAAAGTTCATGTGCTTCACTAGTTGCGCTGTAAACATCAACGCGACACTCGATCTCTTCCCACGCTCACCGTAACAGCGGCTCCTGGCTACGCCCCGTGAAGTTCGCTCCGGAAGGCTCTGTGGCATTTCAGATTGCTATACATGGTATTTCACATAGCATGGAGTATGGCCCTGGGCTGGGCCGCGCCATAGCTCAAGCGGTTAGTCGCTGGCTTCCCACAGCGGCGGCCCGGGTTCGATCCCGGGTCTGGTCAAGTGGGATTTGTGGTGGAGAAAGCGGCGCTGGGGCAGGTTTTCTCCTAGTACTTCGGTTTCCCCTGCCAATCTTCATTCCACCAATTGCTCCACAATCACCCTCACCTATCATCTGGGGCTGGTACAATAGGCTAGAAGTAGCCGGAGTACAAGGCACTTAGTCCCTCTCCACTAGCAATTAAAAAAAAGACCCTGGGGTTTAGAGGGACAAGGAATGGGTCATACTCCTTCTATCCAAGCCTACGGCAGGCAACTTTGTGCCTTTTGCACTTGAGACGCCACTACAGTTCGATAGTCAGCGTTGCCAAATAACACTCAATGGATTTTGTTGTGTTTGCAAGTTGTTTAATGTTTATGTCTGTAACATTTTCTAAAACACCGTCGTTCATTATCACCCAAATCTTTTGAAACTGACTCCGTACAAAGCTGTGGCCTCCGTGCCGTGTTATAGCGTGAGATCTGTGAACTTGTAGGCTGAAGTAGGAGGCTATTGTAACGGCTGGTTCTGTGGCTCACGTGGCCCTCTTAAAGCGAACTCCAAGGCTATATCTTGAAACATGTCACGAGCACTTGCATCAAAACTATCATCCGCATTATCATGTGCCCAATATACTCTACGCCATGTGCAGTGTATCAGTGTAACAGCGTTGTTGAATAAATTACAAAAAAATGGGAATTTGATAGAGGGGCTACAGGAACAGATTCGATGAGTATTCTCATTTTTAAGCGGCGTTGGTGTAGCTCAGTCAGTATAGTGAGGGGATACGGGCTTGACAGCAGAGGTACGATTACCTGTGTGGGGCAAGATTTTTCTCTTTTCCACAGCGTCCAAATTGGCTCTGGGGCTCATTCAGCCTCCTGGCCAATGGGTATTCGGGGGTATTTTCCGGGGGTAAACAGCCGGAGCATTAAGCTAACCACTCAACTCCATCTAGAGCTGAGGTCAAGAATGATGGAGGCATATCTCCACTCTTCTAAATATATTCATGGTCTAGTGCTTAATTAATTAGAGGGACAACAACAACAATTTTCATTCATAAGTGAATACAGAACTGGATATGGCATTTACGGGGGCACAGTTCATACTCCTCTTATGGCAGATGCATAACATTACTTTATGTAACTTTAGCCGTTGTGGGAAATAATCCAAAATGCAAAATATGTAATTAGTTAAATCGTTCATATTGTGGCATGTAGACTAGTTGCTAGGCAACGATCGCGAAATAAGCAAAAATATTAGAGCCGTTTCTGAGTAACGGCTTTGTTAGCAAGCATGTTTACACAGCAACAGAGGAAGGATGTTTTCTTTGTGGTCATTGCCGAACTGTTATAAGCAGGACAGTCGGAGCAGTCGTCGTTGTTTTATACCAAGAAATAGACGCAATCTGTTACAGTATTGGCAACTGAGAAAAAGCGGGACCTAACGAGCTAAGTGATAGCAAATAGTAATATATAATGGTTTGTAATTTTTATCGTTTAATATTAATAATCGCGATAATTCTGTACCTTATTAGCATGCGGAATTTTCGTTGTCATTATTGCACGTGTTAATTTTCCTCTTTTCCTTATTTTACTTGTTGATTTCTTAAACTTTAACATGACAATTCAGCCGAGGAATGGAGGAAACGTGAACATTTTAGACAAAGTGCATGAGAAATATTTTCTCTGAATAGAACAAATATCATATAAATAATGTAATAGAAATTCCGTTCCTGCACCGAATAACTAAAACTCAACTCCATCATTTCTTGATCAGGTAGTTGAGAAGGGGGGGGGCAGAACAGCTGCATGTTTCGTGGGCCGAATGAAACTCTGAACTGCGAGACACGGAGTCACTGGACAGATTCTTAGAATTTACCTTTTTCCATTTGAGCATGAAGACACGAGAATTGAACTTGGACCACCGGCTTATCTCACTAAGATTCCCTTTCTATTCTATTATTTTTGTCTAAACAACTACTGCAATGACTTGGATTTCTTATAGTTTTACTCAGTCCCTTTACGTGACTTCCAAGATACCATCTTAAATTAGGTCACGACCTCTTCCTTGATCTTGCCTTCCCATTGATCACTTACAAATTATATCACCATTTAACGCCATACATTCTATGTTGTTGAAAGCTTAGTTAAATATAATAAATGACAAATATTTACATCTTAAAAATTTAATTTAAAATACGTAATATATTTTAGACGTTATTGAATCCATCAGACCGGGATATAGTTGAGTAAATAGGAATTCTGAAGTAAGAAGTTTATCAAAAAGCCATTTATATAGTTTCCATGCTATGCTTGAGACATGTTGCTTCGAAGCATTGATGTTTCTCGTCTGAAATTATTTATTTGAAAAGAAAATGGCCCTTTCTGCGTCATTGATTAACGTTAAATATTTGTGGGATTTACGATATTATATTGTAATGGAATATTGTAATGCCGTACAAATATACCAATAGGAGAAGGTCCGAGCTTGTGTTCCAGTGTTGCATGACACGAGAAGATATTTGTAAGTTTAACTGATGCGTGCAAGGGAGAGCTCTGCTTTCTTCATGTTCACATGGAACTAGAGAAATTCTAATTCCTCGGTCAGGTTTGCTAGTGGCAGAAATTCCAATCCGGTAACTCCCGAATGCCAGGAAAATGGAAACTGTTCAGCTCTATAGGCACTGGGAAAACCACAAAAATTTTTCTGAAATGATTCAAGATCTTCTGGAGGATCAGAATTGGGGGATTTCCCGATCTCGTGGTAGCACAATTTAACTTGTACTTGGGAGTTCTTACAATTATGTACACTGTTATTCATCTGTTTGTTCCTAATTCCAATTTTCCCATAACAATTATAATGTTTCGTGTTAAACAACTGAGTTCATGTACGTCATCCAGTACGCATTTGAGAGTTTCAGTCGCAGGAATGTAAACTATTCTCTTCAAATTCCAGGCAAATTTCATGTTCTTTTTTCAGTCTGTTGGAATATTCGGAAGTTTTGTTACGGTGCTCAATGTAGAGGTAAAATATTCAGATAGAATGCGGGCTCCCAGATTGCAAAGTTTGTTTCCCGTTCTTCAATTGAAATCTTAGTTCTACACTACTCAACTAATGATCTGTTAGGGACGCTATGCGCTACTCACAGCGGAGGCAAGGGTCGATAAATTGGGTAAATAATAGCACGCATTTGTCTGCAGTACGTTGTAATAATTGATAACTGGTAGCTGATACTATAAACAGTAAAAATTGTTGTAACTGAGAAAATACTCATAACTACTAGTCCTATATAACACAAAGATACATTTGTTTTTCCTTTAAGTAATAGAATTCGCAGTGAAGTGGAGAATTTTATCGTACGTAACTTCTGATCTCTATGGCTTCTAAGAACCTTGGCCTCCTTTACAACATACAGCACTTTTATATCATTTTAGCTTGTCTCCACCTCTTCAATTTCAGCTCTCGTAAATCATTGTCTACGTCTTAGTGTTACCTCATTGTACCATTCCAACTTTGATTTAATTTCAGCAGTTCCTTAGCCCCCCTTATTTAACTCTGTATGCTCCAACTACGCCCATAATCCCCTTAATATCTGCTACCGACTCAGGAGTTTTGTATAACTTCTTTATCTGATTATTTATGATTAACCAGACTTCTTGCTGACTTAATGGTCA